AATACACTCTGGCATAATCCTGTAAAGTGGCCTTGTGGCTTGACCCATATGATTTCCCCCAAATTTCAGGACCAAATGATATTATTTTCCTACTTATTCATCCAGCCCTTGTGTTCATTTTAACCACCTTCCTGCACTCCACTCCCAATCATTAAAATATGTTATTTATAAATTTATTTTTATACTTTTAAGAGGCTTTTTTAATGCCTCTATCTATTCTGTCACTTCAGCGCGCCGCGGCAGTGGCAAGGGCTCAAGGGTCACGGCAAAGTAGAGAGAGCCGGATGAGTGAGAGGGTTCAAGTTCGCACAGTGAGTGGAGGATTGTGTATTCCCTAAGAAAACAGGAGCAGCCATTTGAGTGGAGGTCATGGACATTTCCATGCATGCCGACAGAATGGGTGGAAGCGTTGGAGGAGAAAGGCCTCTTAAAACTAACTGAACTAAAAGCTCTTGGTTTCGAATGCTCTTCAGCCTTTACTCTGTGAAAGGTACTCTCGCTCAAATAAAGCACTGGGGTCAAAAGGGATGTTTTTTTTTAAGCTTTTAGGCTAACTCTAATTCCCACTTAAAACCAACTTTAGTTCCTATTTCTAAAAAAACGAGACAAGGCCTCTTCTCTGTGTCTGTTTCAGTGTTGCAGTATGTTACAGTCAGATAGAAGTTTCTCATCATCCTTTTAGAGGCTTGTGATTGAAAGTGTATGGCTTTATTCTTAAGGTTAATACTGCTGCTCAAAACACCCACATATGGGTAAAAATAAATAAAAAAATAAAGGTAATATTTGAATGATGCATTTTTTAAAATGTAATTAATATGGAAAGCTCCTCACACATGCACAGGCAAGCACGCACGCACAAACTATGCACTGATTTCTGGTACGTAATGCTTGTCATATCCACATGATGGCAGTATGGATCTGTATAATTATCTCTCTTCTCCTTGGCATCTTGGTTTCTATTATATGAACACACTGCAATTGACCATTGAATGCTTTTAAAGTAATGTTTCAATAAAGTTATACTTCCCATATTTTACATAATGGATGAGCATTATTGTGGAAGACGTAGCCTACATAATTAGTGAGTTTTATTGCGTTTTCTGAACTTTCAACCATATAAATACATCTTTATTCCTGGGATACAGTTGAAAACTCCAAAAATATATATTTTAAATTTACCTTGAGTTAAGATTATTCCATAAAAAGATTAATATTAGTAATATATATTATATTATTACAACATTTTACACAACTGAGAAAAGAGTCATAGGTGCTGAGCACACACAGGGCCTTTCTCAATACCAAGTACGCCCAGTACGGACTTGTGTACTCCCAAGGACTGCAGGTACAAGTACAGTCATTCTGCAATTGGAACAGCAGTTTACTTGATGACCTCACCACCTCAGCTGGTCTTGCTAATGAGTTTAATCCGGTTGTTCACTTTAAAGTATTTTTACAATCAAACCAACTATGACCTGCTTTTTTCGTTTTCATTTAAAATAAAAAATGATATACATACATACAATTATATCTACACGTATAATTGTATGTCATATAACTAAGTATAGTTTGCATAAACAGCAGGTGGCGGTATAGAGCTTCACATCTACTACTAGCATTAACCACAGAAGAAGAAGAAGAAGATCGGTGCTAGGATAGCTAGCAAGCTAGCATCTACAAGGTGCACGGTTAGACAGTCGTGAGCATCAAACATGCTTCTACAGACGGTCAGGCCGTGGGTGCTTCGTTGCAGGAGTCTACCTTTGGCTTGCACGAGGTCTTACTACGCCGACAGTGTAGCCCGACTCGGGTCTCAGACGGATAAACAGTCTTCTGAATACCAGGTAGGTTAGCCCGTGGCTAACGTCAGCTAGCCAAATGTTTACGTCACAACTGTACTCGCTGCTAATGTCAAAGTTAGCTGTTCAACTACACAATTGACTGGCAGATGTAAAAACCATGCTAAGGTCAGCTAATGTTGACGGGCTTTAAAAATAGGGTTTTTTCAGTTTGTAAACCACGCGGAGGCTAATCCTAGCTAGTTTATAGGCTATAAGAGGTCAAAACCTTGAGCTTTCATTGTGCTTAGCCAAGGTGTTAGCATCATCACACAAGCTAGCCAGGGCATTCATTCTGCATTCCAGTACATATACACGTGTCTTCAAAGGTCTGTATGTGTCTGTCAGTCCTGCTCGAGTAGAGTAACACTTAATATTTTTATTTAACTGTAACCCCTGAAAATGACTGACACATCAGCATTGCTTATCACTAACACAACAAATATATACAGTTTTAAGCCCAGGCTAGGAGTAAATGCAAACCGGGCTTATTTAAAAATTAATGTTAAAGGTTTTAATACTTTAGAGCAGGAGTATTCAACGTTTTTCAGGCCAAGGACCCCCAAACTGATAGAGAGATGGTGCAGGGACCCCTACTATATATATTGTATACAATTGTGTTGTATATTAAACTGGGCCTAGTGCCATGTATAAACATACTTGTTATTGTGCATTCAATACTAAACTATTCAAATAATACACAGGTTCATATATTCATGTTTTTATTTTAAACATGTGGAAGGTACAGTGAGTAGGGTGTCCCTGCCACTGCCATTTACAAACGCACCATGTGGAAACGAAAATGAGTGATTGCCTATTAGTGCCACTGCCATGCATAAACATAACTGTTATCTTGCATACAATACTGAACTATTAAAATAATGGAAAGATTCATGTTTGGGGAAAAAACAAATTGTCTAATCAACCAAAAATTTCGCGGACCCCCCTGCAGTACCTCCACGGACCCCCTAGGGGTCGCGGACACCCTGTTGAAGACCTCTGCTTTAGAGTGTTGGGTTGAATTCATACATTATTAATGTTAATCACAAGATTCATCAGTGTAACTGTTGGTCAATAGCGTCCACATTCAGTAACCAGCAACCAATTCATCCTCACTGATGCAAAGCCAAAAACTGTCACTGGATGGAGCTGCAGTCACATATCCTTTATGTTTCCAGCTGGGGGAGAAAAAAAAACACAACAAGATGGATGGATGGATGGATGGATAGATAGATAGATATGTACTTTATTCATGCCCAGGGGGAAATTTGTATGTTACAGCAGCAAGACATACCAAGAAGCAAAGTAACAGAGTAACCAAAAATATTAAGTATTAAAAAATGCACAATATATACAATGAAATAGAATAGTGTTAAATGAACTAACGAGATGAAAAACAGTAGTGCAAAAATCAACCACCAGCAAACAACAGTGTAGCAGTGTGTATTTATGTGGAGGATGATCTGGCCAGAGGTGATTTATTGTAAAGTGTTATTGCAGTGGGCAGGAATCTGCATCGGTCCTTGTGACAGCGGAGCTGAATCAGTCTGTTGGAGAAAGTGCTCCGCTGCCCCTGCAGTAGGTGGTGGAGAGGGTGGTCCGGGTTATCCAATATGGATAATAATTTCTTCACTGTCCTCCTCTCCACCACCTCTTCCAGATAGTCTTGTTTGTTCTTAACTAGTTTGTTAAGTCTGTTGGTGTCTCCGGCTCCAATGCTGCTCCCCCAGCAGACTACGGCGAAGTAAAGTGCACTGGCCACAACAGACTGGTAGAACATCTCCAACATCTTGCTGCACACGTTGAAAGATCGAAGTTTCCTCAAGAAAGAGAGTCGACTCATCCCCTTCTTGTACACAGCGTTGATGTTGGTCTGCCAGTTCAGTCTGTTGTCGATGGAGACACCCAGGTACTTGTACTCCTCTACCATGTCCACATCCTGTCCCTGAACTCTCAGCGGTTGTGGAGCCGTCGTCTTCCTCCTGAAGTCGACCACCATCTCTCTGGTCTTGGCCACGTTCAGACGCAGGTGATTTCTACCGGCCCACTCCACAAAATCATCCACTACTGCCCTGTACTCCTCCTCCCGTCCGTCCCTTATACACCCGACCACTGCAGAGTCATCGGAGAACTTCTGCAGATGGCATGACCCTGAGTTGTACTGGAAGTCAGTGGTGTACAAGGTGAACAGGAAGGGAGACAGAACTGTTCCCTGTGGGGCTCCAGTATCACTGACCACCACATCAGACAGCACACTGCCCAGTCGGACAAACTGTGGTCTGCCTGTGAGGTAGTTAGTGATCCAGGAGACAGTGGACGCGTTAACCGCCACCACCCGCAGCTTCTCACTCAGCAGCACTGGTTGGATGGTGTTAAATGCACTGGAGAAATCAAAGAAAGTGATTCTCACAGAGCCCCCGGTTCCATCCATGTGCGACTGAGCTCGTTGCAGCAGGTAGATGATAGCGTCGTCCACTCCCACATGAGGCTGGTATGCAAATTGCAGAGGGTCCAGTGAGGATTTCACCTGCGGTCGGAGGTGGGCCAAGACCAGCACCTTCATCACATGAGATGTGAGGGCAACTGGTCGGTAGTCATTGAGGCTAGATGGCGTCGTCTTTTTTGGTACAGGAACCAGGCACGACGTCTTCCACAGCACCGGGACTTCCTCCTGCTTCAGGCTCAGGTTGTATAGGTGTTGCAGGACAACAGACAGCTGGCTGGCGCAGGTCTTCAGGACCCTGGGGCTGAAGCCATCAGGTCCAGCAGCCTTGCCTTGGTGGAGTCTCTCCAGCTGTCTCCTAACCTGGCCAGTCGTCATAGAAAGGGGGGGGGGGCAGAGCCCTTTTGAAGTGGAGGGCTGTGAGTCCATGCAGCTCACCAGGGGGGACAGAGGAGGTGGTGGTGTTTGGGAGGTGTGGTGTGTGGAGGAGACAGTTCTCTCTGAGCTAAACCTATTGAAGAAAGAGTTTAGCTCGTTTGCACTCTCCAGGGAGCCCCCTGGTTGTCTGCCTCCAACCTTGAAGCCGGTAATCTGCTTCATCCCCGTCCACACCTCCTTCACGTTGTTCTGCTGGAGGTTGGCCTCCAGCTTCCTCCTGTAGGTGTCCTTGCACTCCCTGAGCTTCACCTTCAGGTCGCGCTGGACTCTCCTGAGCTCCTCCCTGTCCCCAGACCTGAAAGCTGCTTTCTTCTTGTTAAGCAGAACTCTCAGGTCACTGGTGATCCAAGGTTTATTGTTGGGGTAGCAGTGTACAGTCCGGGATGCAATAGTAGTTTGTTCACAGAATTTGATGTATTCTGTGATACAGTCTGTCATGCTGTTGATGTCCTGCCCATGTGGTCCACACAGCACATCCCAATCCGTAGACTCAAAGCAGTCCTGCAGAGTGTCATTAGCCTCCTGAGACCATCTCCTCACAGTCCTGGTGGTCACAGGCAGCCTCTGCGCCAGAGGAACATACTTTGGTGTTAACAGGATCAGGTTGTGATCAGACCTGCCAAGGGGGGGGCAGTAGCACTGTATGCGTCCTTTGCATTTGCATACAGTAGGTCCAGAGTTTTATTGTTCCTTGTGGGGCAGTCAACATACTGGTGTAAGGTCGGCAGGGCTTTATCCAGAGTGGTGTGATTAAAGTCTCCAGTAATAGCCAAAAATGCACCAGCATGTTGACTCAGCAGTCCAGATACAGTGGAGTGGATTGTGTCCACTGCTACCTCAGCGTCAACTGATGGCGGGACGTACACATCCACAACAATGGTGGACGTGAACTCACTCTGCAAATAATAAGGACGCATCTCCATGGCTAATAGTTCAATGTCTGGGCTACAGAAGCGTTCCTTTACACACACATGGTCAGGATTGCACCAGCTCTCGTTCGCATACACGGCAATCCCGCCACCTCTCTTCTTACCGCTCTGTACAACGGTGAACATGTCTATTAAGTGATGTTGTCCCACAATAAACCAGCACCATTGGTTATGTTCTTGACTTTTTTTTCATTCCCTCTTGACAAATACAGTTGGATGAGTGATGGAAGGGTTCGTAAACGACTCTATTCCAAATGATCTAAGAGCCGAAGTTACATTAGACAACCTTAACTCTGTCATCGGTTCCTTAAAGCGACGCCATCTCTGCCACAAATTGTCATCAGTAGAAATCATTCGACATGACCAACAAAAACGAATTGTCTCTGTACTCCTTGTGTTTCAGGAGAATTATGAGCGAATGCAGGTTATTGTTGATGAGCTGAAAAGCCGGACGGAGAAGGTCAAATTGGGTAGGTGTGAGCACATGACAGATTACACGCTAAACACCATATGTATATTCATCACTTTGTGTTTTCATTCTAACAAATTTAGTCTCAATTTAAGCTCAGGCCATCTGGGTGATGAAAGTGTTGATAAAACACCAATTTTAGTAAAATTGATCAGGATCCAGCCATAGCTGTGAAGGTTTTAAGGGCCTGCTCTTGCTTGTCAATGCTCAAACTGGAAGTAACACTTGTTTTTATATTTACCTTGCTTTGATTGATAAAAGGCAAAAAAAACCAACCTCTAAGCTCTTCCATATCTTATTTCTAGGTTTGTGGTTTAGGATCTACAGTTTGACACATGCTAAATCAACTCCGGCTTATCCGAAGTGTTGCCAAACAGTTTTCTTAACATTCTGTTCGTATTTGATCAATCCAGGTGGGGGAGAAAAAGCCAGAAGACTTCACACTTCCCGGGGGAAACTCCTGCCCAGAGAGCGTATCGACAGACTGCTAGATCCAGGGTACAGTATCGTCTGCTTCCATCTTTGATTCAAAATTCACGGCCGACTCGCACCCAGCAGACCGAAAGATGATAACAGATTTGTAGTGCTCTGGTCTGACATCATTACACAGATCAAGGCGCAGGTAGTTCCAACGTCTGATGTTGTACACACACTGAGAACAGGGAAGCGAGGATAGCATTGCTGTCATCTCACATAGTCCACCATCAGATCTGATGTCACGGTTTTTAATGCTCAAAACATCGAACATCTAAAGTGTGAAAAGGTCGTTTTTTTAAAAATGTGTTTTTCTTTCAGGAGCCCTTTCTTGGAGTTCTCTCAGTTTGCAGCGTACGAGTTGTACGGAAAAGAGGAAGTCCCAGCAGGCGGTATCCTTACTGGGATCGGCCGGGTTTCAGGGTAAGCGCCATAAATGAGCAGATATTTCTGCTAATAAAAGACTGCAAAACAAAGTTTGATTTTTAAGCCATCTTTAATGCCTCTTTAAATGCAGATTAAACACCCTTTACTAGATGCAGAATATTCCAATTTAAAACTCCATGATAATAACACGGGGTGTTAAATTAATTAGTGTGACTTGTAATTAGTGTCTTTGGATCATTTTCAATGAGATTTCCCTCGAGCACTCCAGGTGGACCGCAAATTTAATTCAGTTTCTTTTGTCTCTCATAGAGTGGAATGTGTTATTGTTGCAAATGATGCTACTGTCAAAGGGGGCACATACTTCCCGGTGACGGTGAAGAAACACCTTCGAGCGCAAGAAATAGCCCAGCAGAACCACCTGCCGTGCATTTACTTAGGTGAGTTTTTATGTGTCCGGGTTTGTCCGTCCTATCGGTCCGTTCTCGTGGGTGCGACCTCTTGGGAACTCCTGGAAATTTCTTCAAATTTTGGCACAAACGTCCACTTGGACTCGAGGCTGGACTGATCAGAATTTGGTGGTTTAAAGGTCATGAATCAAGAATTCATATGCTAATTATTGACAATTTCACACAAATGTCTGAGAGGATGAATTCCATTTTTTTTAGTTTTTTTTAGAATTTAGTTTATATTTTTTAGAGTTTGGTCAAACAAGAAACCTTGACTCACAGAAGAATAAAACCTATAATATAAACGTATACATTTGAAAGTCATGCTGGAGAAAAAAGAGAAATATTGATCAGTAGCTTTATAAAATGAGAATACTACAAATATTTTCACTGTGATTTGATAAATTGCCAGCTCTCGTCTGCCCTGTGAGGAAAATCCTAACGTGTAGTCTCCCTAGAAGTCCCCGGTTGAGACTTTTCAGGACGACTGGGTGCCAGCTGCCAAATGTTACTAATAACCATGAGCTCTCTCCATGTTTTATGTTCTTGACTCCTTCAGTGGATTCAGGAGGGGCCAATCTTCCCCGACAGGCCGACGTCTTTCCAGACAGAGACCACTTTGGACGTATTTTCTACAACCAGGCCAGGCTGTCCTCAGAGGGAATAGCACAGGTCTGTATTTCACATGCTGAGCATGTATCACACTCACACCGGCTTTAACTGCAGCCTGTTGTTGTTGTCGTCTTGGATGTTACATTTGTTGTCTTTGAGTTTACTCTGCGTTGATTCATGGATCGGCTCTGAGAAGCAGATGGGGTTGTCTGAAAAATAGTATCAGAAACAGCGGGGGTTTTATATCATATTTAAATAAACCGCACTGCTGTAGGTTATTCCTCTTTTCATTGTCTGCAGGCAACCGATCCATCTTGTTATTGACTACTGAAGAAGAGGCGTCCTCGTGTTTTTAAAAACAAGACAAAAAGAAGTCAATTAATGTGAGAGCTGATAAATGCGATGGGTGCTGTAGAGGCGTCGGGTCTCGCACTCTCGCATCCCTCCAGCAGACCCAGAGGTTATAAACAGCTGAATATGTTCCTACTTCAATAAACTGAATGCCCATTCATTCTTGCTAATATTGTCTCTTCTAATGATTCAAATGATATATTATCTTTTTTTATTTTTTCCCCCTAGCTATATTTAGTGTTGCCGCCACATTTAGATTGCTGTATTACAAATGTACGAGTCCAGTTGCAAGTGCCCATTAAATTGTCGTTAATTGCATTCACAATTAGCTTGAAGCTAAGTTGTCCTTGAGCTGGTACTTCACGGTCGTAGAAATATCAGTTATTCATTTCACAGCGGAGCGTTGTCCATTGTTAATATTAGGCTTTTTTTTTCGTGACTCTTTCAGATTGCTGTGGTGATGGGCTCCTGTACGGCTGGAGGAGCGTATGTGCCTGCCATGGCAGATGAGAGCATCATTGTGCGGAAGCAAGGAACCATTTTCCTGGGAGGACCTCCACTGGTAGCTCATATTTCTGTTGCTAGAATTATATATAAGATGAGGATGAAAGTTAGAGCATCAGATAATAACAAGTTGGTGGTTCATATACCATACATCATAAATTACGCACAAGAAATGTCTTACTAATAGCATGTACTTTTGGTTGTATTAAGTTATTAATATTTCTATACAGTACAGCAACCAGGTAGCAGAATTCTTAAAGATACTTGGCTGATAATTTGCGTGTGTTTGAGAATCTCTGTGCTTTTGTATTTATAGGTCAAAGCTGCCACCGGGGAAGAAGTTTCTGCAGAGGACCTCGGTGGTGCTGATCTTCACTGCAAGTATGAAATAACAGTATTTTTTTTTTCATTGCATTGCACGTGTGTCTTTTTGATATCATGTTTCTGCTTTTAGAACAGTGTTGTTCATCAACTTAAAGAAGAGTGAGGCTGTTGTCCACAGAAAGTAACTCAACCCTAAAATAGAGCAACAAAACATGACGTGACACAAACGTGCTGAGTTTTCTTTTCTCTCCAGTGGTTCCAATTATAATGTGGGTTTACACAGAGAGAATCAAAGAATTCAAATGATGGTGTTATAAACAATATGGTAGTTGGGATTTGTTGTTTTTGTTTGTTGTCTTACTTTAAAAGGAGCATAATTATGTGCTCATCACATGGAGATGATAGGCCGTCATACAGAATTATTTTCTGAATTCTTCTTCTTGTGGTTTCTTCTTTGAAAGTTTTCTTTTGAAGTCTCCTGAATTTAGTTCTTCTAGGAATCCTTCTTTCAAATTTTCTTTCTCAAATTTCCTTTTCTTTGAGATTCTTCTTCAGAATTCTTGTCTTTTTTCGGGCCAAATTCCATTTTCCACACTGTAGCCATCCACAGACAGAACTGAAGGGACAGTTTACAAGCTGCAAACGGCTGTTTCTACACACCTCCCCCAGCTGATTTTTGAGAATTAAAATACATGTATAGCGCTCAAATAGTGCTACACTATTATATGAATGCTCTGAATAATAAATGTGGGCAAATTCTTTTATTTTGAAATATTCATGTTATTTATGAATGATGAATGACCCTTTATTTCATTATTACATTTTCCTGTCACTGCGATGATTCAGTTGCAGTGGCGGGCCGTGCATTTTATACCTGGGCCTTCACTGCTGTCCTGCAGCTGAAACACAGCTACGGTTATTATTTGTTTCGTGTAAAAATGAAGCCAACACCTATCTGCAGAGAATACGCCGGGAGTGCGTCTCCTCTCTGCTCTGACTGCAGCTGGGACTGCTGCGCGAGTTACCGCCTGTGAGCTTTGGGGCTGCGGAGGGGCAGCACCCGCTGCTCGTTCACGACAGTAAAGTCGCCAGATTTAGCGAGAAAGTCGCCAGGTTGCCAACACTGGCACCAGATAAATATGTCCCTAGAGCAACACTGGACGTAACAATGGTTCCCATCACATATTAAACCAAACAAAAATCCAATCTTCATAAAAACGAGTTGTACAAATAATAATATATAAACAAGCATCTTAAAGCTAATGCAGATGTAAAAACAAACGTATTTAACTTACCAAAGCTGCTGTTCACTATTTAGCTGCTGTTCCTCCTTTCTTTGTTAACAAAGAGTTTAATCTCACGGTTGTTCAGTACATCCGTGCGTTTTAGTTCCAGTAAGAAGTCCTTCTTGATTCATGGACGCCAGTGAAGACAGTCGAGCCTCCCCAGTTGTATTACTTGAATAGGTTTTAATGCGTTTGAGGTTGAAAATGTCCACTCAACAGAGGCAGCAGATTTTGGCATTGTCACCGCCCAACATGTCAGGCTAGCCCACTGACCAATCACGTACTTGTAGACCAGCTAGCAGGCTCTGGCACGTCAAAGAATACGCCCAACATGTCAAACTAAAGATCTGATTGGTTGAACACTATGACAATCAACAATATCGTCCCCATTCACTTAAACTGCAAAGGGATGCACTTGTGAGTCTGCAGGCCTCGGGCCTCTTTTGTTACCTAGAGACACAGAGGTGAAATCTGATTGGATAAAAGCTCTACTTAAAACAAGCTGAACTGGAAGCAGAGCAACTGAGGAAGACAGTAGCTGTGCAATGAGAAAATAAGATGATGGGAAAAATATTTTTATAAATTATAATACATGTAGTGTATTTAAGAAAAAATATTAAATTATAAAATAGCTATAACTTTGTGATTCTGTCTAGGCCAGCAGAGAAGGCCTTGCAGGCCCTTACGGCCCACCACTATTCAGTTGTGAGTTTGGCAGTCGAATCAAGCTTCTTAGATCAGTAGAAGTACAAAAGTATTGGCATCAAAATATACTCGAAGTACTAAAAGTATATAATTATTGAAGCGTTAATGTATTCATCCCTTTATTGTTGCAGCTGGTAAAGGTGGAGCTCATTTTAACTGCTTTATATTCTTAATGATTAGGCTATATGCTACTTTATAATACACCATAGTTTATTAGTTGATTTATTTTTTGTACTAACAACCTGCATCTGCAAAGTAGCCTAACTAGTTACTAATGTGGTCAAATAAATATAGTGAAGTGAAAAATACAATGTTTCCCTCTGAGGTAAAGTGGAGTCGAAGTTTAAAGTTACATAAAATGGAGATATTAAAGTACTAGTGCCTCAAAATTATATGCAAGTACAGTACTTAATTATCTAAAATTGAGCCGGTTTCCTCTTATGACTCGTCTCTGTTCTGTCAAGATAAGGTATACAAAGTCTTTGAATTTCGTCTTGATAATTGAAGTGTTGGTGTGAAGCCATCGAGGTGCTAATGCCTACTCAGGCATTGTGCCCGGATCATTTGCTTTTCACTGTACATAGATCTCTTACCTTTTTAATAATCTAACAAAACAGGCAGAGAAAAGGTAATTTACAATGCTGTGGTTTTTGGAAAAATCATTTCATTTCATTGCTGAAACACATCACACGCTCTTATCAGTGATTTATGTGCTGTAATAATGTCACCGTGATGGATTTGTTGCTTGTTTTTACAGAAAATCTGGTGTGACGGACCACTATGCTTTGGACGATAACCATGCCATCCATTTGGCAAGAAAGGCGGTGAGAAGACTGAACTACAGGAAAACTATTGAGGTCAGTCCAATGATGAAGATCATCAACAATAACCTTTTTATGTCTTAGCAAGTTAAGCCGTCTGTGCTTTCCGTTGACGTGGAGTCCATTATGTTCTTCAGGTCACCACAGAACCCACTGAAGAACCTCTCTTCCCTGCAGATGAACTCTATGGCATCGTTGGAGATAACTTGAAACGCAACTTTGATGTCAGAGAGGTATTTGTCCAGTTTTTTTATACATTGTTTCAAAGGGGCAAGAAAAAAAAAACCGTTATCAGCTGTAATGCAAGAAAAAAAAAAAGCCTTTTAGATTTCAATTATTTCAAAATAGCAATACTGTAGTCTAGATGTTCTCAACTAAATGATGTTGGGGGTTAATTTAATATGTTGTTTGGGTTTTTTGTTATGGTGAATGGAGTCGCTTTGAATTTGTAAATCATTTAATATGATTTATAATGCTCAATTTATAATCCACTCTGAGGCTCAACATTAAGGCCGCTTGCTTAATGCTTTCTACTCGCCGGTCCCTTAAAGTACTGAATCGTGAAAAACATATCCGTTGAAATCGGCAAGATGAAAGCTAACGTTAGTCAACGTCAGCTGTTGTTCTGATTGGCTAAATAATGGAGCTAACAGCAAGGTAACATTTTGAACAACTCGCGTAATCAGACACGTAGACTCATTATATTGTAATTCATTCTCATGCACGCTGCTCAGATTCATCACAGTGAGACTCTGCCAAGCACAGCCCTGCTGATAAAGGAGCTAACCGTTAACGTCAACGGAGGTTCCATTCAGTTCCATCGTGGTGCGTTCAAGCTCCAAACCGTTAAAATGAGTATTGGGCAAACATTATCAAGATGTGTTCAAATGTAATCTTGTAAAATGTAGTTTTTTATGAGAAACTTGAAAAGAAATCTAGTTGTATGTTTAACTTTCCAACACTAACTCGGAGCAGCATATAATATGTAATTAAAAATAATGTTTAATCCAATCAAATATTGATGCTTTTTGTATGTGTGTTCAGCAGAGGTAATTTCCATTGATAAAATTTATTTATTGTAGTGTTACCACTAGAAAACACGATTGATAGAACATATACACACTTTGCACCACTGTTTTATACTTATAATTTGTGAAAAACAGAATTTAAACCTGGCTTTCACAGGCTCAGACTACACCGTGAACAATATTTAGCTGTCAGGTCTCTCTGTCAGGAGCTGAGTCGATAATGGACAGCCGGCATCAATCTCTTTGTTTACTCTCTCTCTCCGGCGGGGCTCGCCAGATGTTCTCATTTGGTCTAAAGCCTGTGCCCTTTGATTCCGGATGTAGACCGTGGAGCAGGAATTACTGCTACCTCGAGAGATGTCAAACTGTTTGTAGTCTAGAACAGTATTGTCAGTCCATTTAGGAAACAAGATCAAGTGGTTGCTCCCTTTTTACAAGAGTTTTTTAACTGTTATAGGCTTTTCAACAAAAGGCTTCAGTTAAATCACTCAGGTAAAAATTGTATTAGTCTAGTAACTTCATATTTATTTCTCTGTTGTGAACAATTCCTATGAAAATTGATACTAATAAGTCTTGATTTTTAAAGGCCGATATATTAACAATAGTTAAGAGCAGGAAAAAGCCAAAAACCAATGAATCGGTCATTACCACAGAGTGTTTATAGGAAGAGGACGTAGTCATCGTGACGTCACTAATTGGTTTGTGGACTGGCGTTTGGAGCCTCGAGTTCGGCGATTTGCTGTCGCCATCTTGGATTACCATTACCGTGCCATGTTTTTTTTTGCAACCAATAAACAGACGTTACCAAACTTAGATTGTGCAGGAGTGACGTAGAGACGTCTCGTACGGCTCTGGTAGCTGCAGCGACCTGTCAATCGCAGTAAGCCCGCCCTGAAGCATACTCTGCTTTATGGTCTATTTGATTCTAAATGGACCATAATTTACTAAATGAACATCATGCTGTATTGAAGAAGACTTGAAACTAGAGATTGAGACCATAAACTCATGTTTACAATGTTTACTGAGGTAATAAATCAAGTGAGAAGTAGTAATTTTCTCAGACTTCTATACAACCAGAGGAGTCGCCCCCTGATGGACATTAGAGAGAATGCTAGTTTTAAGACACTTCTGCATTGGCTTCACTTCTGATCCATTTACCATTTGTTGACAAAAATCTAGAATATCACGGGCCCCAACCTCCCTCTAACACGAACAAACAAAGAACACAGGAAACGTAAACTTGTTATGCATGTCATTTCTGTCACTGTTACTGTATTATTAGCTCTTACAACCTTCCTCTATCCATTTCATCGCAGGTCATAGCCAGAATTGTAGACGGCAGTAAATTTGATGAGTTCAAGGCTTTCTATGGAGACACGCTCGTTACAGGTTTGTGAACTAACATTTTTTTCCCCATTTCTACAAACCCAGAGAATTGTGTTTGTTATTATTATGTTGTTGTTTTTTTATCGTGAAATCTACCAACCTTGAAATTTGACTCGCGTCACCCTTGTACCACTCTTGTACCTGCTCAGGATTTTCAAGAATATTCGGTTACCCCGTCGGAATCATCGGCAACAATGGAGTCTTGTTCTCGGAGTCTGCGAAAAAGGTAAATATCACCACGGATGACTTGAAGTGTTATTAGAAAGCCTTAAAAGCTGATGAAACGACAGGCAACACCTGTGTGAAAAGCTGAGATGAGTCAGATCGAGATGAATTGTCAAAGGAGTACGCATTGTACCAGCAATGTGTTCCTCTGAAAGTCAAGGACTTAAAGTTAACACTGAAGCACTTCAGATAGCTTGCTGCCTACAACACTGACTACCAATGTTTCTCTCTCGAGGGAGCTTTCGCTGTCGCCGTGGTGACCTTTCACAGTCGTTCCTCTCGCACAATACGCAATACGGGGCCTTCTCAGGAGGACTCTGACGGAGGGCATTGTAATAACAGCATTTAGAAAGCATGGACAGGAGACAATCATCATTTTCATTCAATATAATTCAGTGAATTAGAGAGGCAGTCTGCCGTGAACAGCTGAACTTTACACAGGCTTAGGAGAAGATTATACACTAATAGGTTTTTCAAACACATTTTCAATTAGATTACAAGCTTGACCTGAAAAAAAATGAAGGTGTATATGTGTATGTGTATGTGTATTTTTTTTATGTTGTTGAGAGGTCTAAATGTGACAGTATGAGCGTCGGCGATGTCATCGGTGTGCCTGCCAATGAAAGGGACAAACACCGATGTGGAGCAAGAAACAAATCAATACAGCACCTGCATTTCAAGATGCATTTTCAAGACACGCTGTCATCACTTACGACGATGCCTGAGGCTTCTGTTATGCTAACTGTTAAATTGCTTTAAAAGCCCCCCACCCATCCAGGTGTCTGTGAAAGGGAGAGGTAACGGAGAAAAGATTCGATTTCTGTTGTCGTGCGCCGCGATTGGGAGCAAAACCCTTGGATCATTTTATAAACGGGCGACGGTTTCTAATAAGCAGCCTTCTTTCATGCAGCTTCTGTTTACCCTTTGAGACGCGAGGCGGGAGGCTCAACTGAAAGAAAGCCAGCGGAGGTAACCGCCAAAAACAAAGAACACACACCTGAGTAATCCAGCATTACAAAGTGTATTGTAAATGAGGCGTCTCCGCGCGTGCACAACCCTTTTGTGCTCTCTTTTCCCCGTACAATAGCTCCTGGCAGCTCTGTGGCGTTCAGAGTCCTGAAGGCCCTTCAGCTCCTTTTCATATTCAAAGTAAAATCTAGCGAGTACAAAGGCAGTGAGAAGCCCGATGACCTCCCTCCCCAAGTTGATAAATGTGTGTCCCGACCGGTCTCTGCTCTCATGAGGAAGATGATGATGAAGGCCAACTGCGTTCGGAACACACGAAGCAGTTCCTTCCAGATGTGATCCAGACAGCACTAGTCCAGCGCGTACACTAGAATACTGTGACTGAAACTGCTCTTTCTGTTAGTGCAGTTTATATTCCTGTTCATTCAAATGACAGGATGGTAATGATTTGGTGTTGATAGTACATATCTGTGTTTTTATTTCTTTTATCCTATGGGCAGTGTTTCTGTTGCAGAGGGAGTTACATTACACTGAATATTTGAATTCCTTTTTCAGGGAACGCATTTCATCGAGTTATGCTGCCAGCGAAACATTCCACTTATTTTCCTCCAAAACATAACAGGTCAGTGGGAATTCTTTATTTCTCTGAGGTTTTGGGGATTGTGGCCGTGTGAGATTTTGTTCGGTTGTTGCGTTTTTGTTCTCTTTCCGTTACTAATAATCGATCATTTATTTTTAACACACCTTGTCGCCGTCCCTTGAGTCGATACAAGTTTTTATCTGCGATCTCTCCTCTGCATCTCCATCTCAGGCTTCATGGTGGGTCGAGAGTACGAGGCGGGCGGAATCGCCAAGGACGGAGCGAAGATGGTGACCGCGGTCGCCTGCGCCAATGTTCCCAAGATCACCGTTCTCATCGGCGGCTCCTATGGCGCAGGGAACTACGGCATGTGCGGCAGAGCCTACAGGTATGAAGGAGTTAATGCAACAGGGGGCAGCTCCGGAAGCTTTACAACTTAACAATAATAGAAGCCCGGCCAAGAGAGTGTTGCATGAATGTGAAGATCTTAAGGTGTCTGAATAATACGCATCAGGTGGCCTTGGGTTTTTACAATTCTGTGAACATGAGTGTTTGTATCGGAGGCTTTTTAAAAATGCCAAACAACACATTTTATAATAATTCATCCATTTTGATTCACATTTTCTGGCACTGACCACCTGCATTGTTCCTTGTTTTGTTTAATGTCCCCCGACAGTATTGCTTCTATAGGAACAATGAGATGCATTGCATTATGGGATAGTTTCCGGATACACAAAGGTCTTTTCTCACATCCGCAGTAGTTCCCTCCCAAGGCCTGTACACAGTTTGTGTGTGAGTCTGCATTCTGCACACTTTTGCATTGTAAAGTAGTAACGCTTCCAACCAGTTCAGAAACCGGCTATTGGCTGATTGAATTAATCTCATCTGTGTGTCTCACTCAGCTCTTTCTGCTTTTTTTGTTTTCTATCAATTTAAATACATTTAAAAAAAACAAGTAGCAAGCATTCTCTTGTAGAATTTGAATAAACACAGATTGAGCATTTTTTGTAAAATTGATGCTGCTATTCACCTTTGGTTTGATTTTTTTTTTTTTAATGATTTAGCATTCCCTGTGAAGTGGTGCTTTTCTGGCCCGAAGCTCTCATAAATCACGTTATGGTGTAGTTGTCATCGGATTATTCCGAGACCATTAAACCTTCATTAACGCAGGTGGTTCGTCTGCGAGTGAGCCGACTATTCTGGCTCAGCGAATGACAAGCAAAATGACGGTTCCTTGTCTTCCTCCCACAGCCCTCGATTCCTGTACATGTGGCCCAATTCCCGAATCTCCGTGATGGGCGGCGAGCAGGCGGCCACCGTCCTGGCCACCATCACCAAGGATCAGAGGGCACGAGAGGGAAAGGAGGTAACGATTCCCATTAATCATCCTGCCCGCGCCGCACCAGAACGGCTCAAATTGGCTTTTTTTTGTAGATTTGCTGCCAAAAAGCATAAACGTTATGGAGACACTTTTCTTTCAGTAATGGTTAGACACGTTGGGCACTTATACAAGGATAAAATGATATCAGTGGTAAGTGTTACGGTGATGATTTATCCTGAATAGTGCAGTCGTCAAATGGCCGTAATTAAGTTGTGTCAGGTGTGCTTTTATGGGTGTATTAAGAGCGCATTAATAGCTTCAGAATGTCACCTCGCATCAGCGCTCGATGGCAGGCGCTTCAATCAGTGATGTTTAAGGTGGTTTAACAATGTATGGGGATAAATAGACTGCAAAGGAAACTAATCATATATTTTTTTCTTTTTATAAATGTCAAATATAAAAAAAATGTTCTAACCATCTTTATTCTACTCGCAGTTCAACCCTGTTGAACCAGCAGCAGGCGATTTGAGGGGGGTTGCCGTCCCTCTTGTTAACCTGCCTTCTGCCTCTCTGTCCCCTGGTAGCAGGGAGAGTGAAGGGGCAGAGGGGTTGTTCACTTGCATATGTTAGTCCGACTCGTTGACGTCAATAGCCTCCGTCGGACAGAGCTGCGATGGCGGCGACTCTAGACGATGCTTGGATTCTACTAGATGTGCCTCGGTGCGTTTCAGAAGCGTCTCTCACTGCGCTGCTTATTGATAAACCCACGGCGCTGTCTGTGGTGCTGATCTATCCATGGACGGATTATAATTGCGACTTTTCACGCCCGTACCCTTGTTAAGAAATACACAAAATCTGTTACGGTGAACGAGTGATAACTTTTCTAGAAATAGTCAGCAGTACCATACAGAAACAACAACAAAACAAACAAAGCAAAGCTCATAATAGGGCTGAATCGACTATCGATTAAGAAAATACAACAATTTGCATAACGGTGTGTCGCAAGAACGGTTGCTCCCTCTGAAAGCATGCACTCCCCCAGAGACGAACCTCTTGCCGACGAACCTCTTGCCCACGATCCTCTAAAGCGTGACAGTAACACCGTGGTGCTCTGTAAATTCTGCAAATTAGAAAAGAGACGGCAGCAGCGGTGATCGAGCGAGCTAGAATGGGAATAAAGAGAGGAGGGCGGTGTTGGTGAGAACAAAGCCGTGAATCGGAGGAGTGGACATTACTTTCTGATTGTTTCATGGTGGTGACGTTCTAAAGCACAAATAAGCTCATCCAAACCTCATCCTCACAAACCTGCGGGAAGGTGCCGGATTTTGAATGAATGCAGCCCAAGACACGCTTCATCCTGATGAGGCCTGTTTGTGTCAGCATCATAGACGGTATATAGGAAATGGACGTAGTCATCGTGACGTCACCCGTTGGTTTGTGGACTGCTGTTTTGAAGCCGAGTTCGCCGTCGCCATCTTGGATTACGCCCGACGCTGTTTTGTTTTTTTCCGCAATAAATGAACGGCGGTTACCATATTTGGAATGTGGAGCAGTAACGTAACTAACTGATCAAGTCACCGTACCGACATCATGTACACTGGGTTACCAGTCTGTTCGTCCCTCCTGGCTGAAACCAATGCGGTCTGATACAACAGCCCTGCAGCGAATCAAGACTTACTAATGATTGGACACGACTGTAGACTGTAGACTACAGCACCAATTTTCTTTTGTTCAAACTATTTTATTCACAGTTCACAGCAGAGCAAGAGGCTGCCATGAAGAAACCAATAGTAGAGCGGTTTGAAGTGGAAGGCAGTCCATACTTCTCCAGTGCAAGGTGAGCTTTTGGTCATGACACATCATTCTATTATTCAAAATGATACTAAATAGTGCATAGGGTTAGGGCATGACCAGGCCATCATTTGTAATTTCATTTAAAATCCAATACATCACGTTGTCCTGCTTTTCCGAGTCATAAGAAAAGACCGTTTCATGCATGAGAAGTGATGGCGTGATGTGTTTGAAGTGCATTTCTTCCCTATCAGATGTCCTGTTGTTCTGCTCATGTGATCATCATCATCAGAATTTGCTTTGCAAAGCAAAAAGAAAGGCAGGGACTCCTTTTAGAAACTTCTACAAATGTATTAAAGCTGTAAGATATGCGAGAGAGTCGTTCAGAGAGAGGAGCACAGCATCTTGATTTCTGTATTAAAGTGATTGATAAGAGACCTGCACAAGTACTGAAAGAAGCCTCAGGTAAGTCAGGTGTGATGCTCTTTCCAATAACGTGATGCCTTTTTAATTTTTTTACAGACTCTGGGATGACGGTGTTATCGATCCCGCTGACACTCGGCTGGTTTTGGGACTGAGCCTCAGCGCGGCACTGAATGCGCCGACGAAGAAGACTCGCTTCGGGGTGTTCAGGATGTAATGCTTGCGTAGCTTGTACAGGTGTGCACCTCAGATGCGCACTGTACTCAAACTAGTCTTTCTTTGTAGTTTTTACTGTGAGGTGTCACAGCAACAAGAGCAACAAACGGGAAGAAAAAGAAAAGAAAAATCACACGACCTTTGATCGATGGGAATGTGATCGGATGGTGTGCTGTTGTGGGATATTTCCACTAATTAGTTGTGCCTTAACTGTTACTGTTCCTAGTGTAAATGCAAACTCTACTCTCTTTCACCTTTTTCCCCTCAAACTTGGATTGTTTTTAAAAAATAAAATACTGTAAATGATGAATTATAAAAATATGAGAACATTCAAAGTTGCTGTCGTTTTCTTCAGGACAACCACTGCTGCTAATAGAGGAATATCATAAGAACAATCTGCATAAGGGGGCGCTGTTTAGCTATAAATATCTGACTGGCCACAGTCTAGCAGGATGGCAGAAGACTACTCGAAATGCCTTTTTAGATAACAGCGTTGTGTTGACAGAGGAGCTGGTTTCAAGGAAATAATAAAAATTAAAGCTGCGAGCAGCGATGAACGGGCCCTCGCAATCTGCAGCGCGTTGGGGGTGCCGGCGGGACTCCGGCCTGCGCGTCCGAGAACGTCCGCGACCGTCGGACGGGGCGTCCGCGAGCGAGACGTTTTTAGTCCCGCGTGGACCGCCTGATGCCAGAAATGATGCTTTGCAAATAGTCCGATGCTTCCTGTATCCGCTGCCTGGCGCTACAGAACACGTGCAAACATGCATCATGTAGCTCTGTGTCAAATGTAAACCACATTGTGTAAAAGTCATGTAAATCGGAGGTGTTTATCACAAAATCCAGATTTCCTTTGGCCAGCAGGTGGCGCTGTGAGTATTGGTGAAAATTAGCTCGTAGACATCCTCAGGCCATGAGTGTTATCAAGCATGAGAAGTTTAGGACCGTTTGGAACAAGTCCAGCTGAGCTACATCAGACATTTCCTTTAGCCAGTAGGTTTTGCGGGTTTAATGTAGCGCCCCCTAGTGGTCGAGTGCAAAGCAATTCTCAGGGTATGTTACTGGATGCAATGTGCACATAGGCTGAATATTTTGGGAATTTAGAACAAATGGTTGAGAAGTTGTGTATTGATATTTTGCCACGCACCTAAGAAGTGTATTGGTCCATATCTTGTAAACACAAAGAGATATCAAAAAGATTTTGATAACTTTTGATGATCTAGATCCACTTATGATCCACAGCAAATTTCGTAGAAATTGGAGCCAGCGTGTAGGAGTTCGCAAAAATGTGTTTTTTTTACTAAATTCAAAATGGCTGACTTCCGGTTGGGTTTAGAGCTTAGAGCTCCAGGGGCTTTTTTGTCAGTCTACATGTGATACATCTGTTTACCAAATGTTATACATCTAAATTTTATATATAGATAGTGAAATGTACTGTGAGGGCTGCATCGTCTAAATATTGTATAAATTCATACAAAATTGAAAATGGCAGACTTCCGGTAGGGTTTAGAGCATGGTCCCAAGAGACTTATTTTTAAGTCTCCATGGGATACATGTGCCTACCAAGTTTCATACATGTAGCCAAAACGTAGCCGGGGCTGCTCTTTTGAAATATTGTAGGGGGCGCTATAGAGGCAATTTAAAACGGCCAATAAAGAAAATCATATAAACTATTTCTTCCAATGACCTGTGACACATTTACAAAGTTCCATGTGTTTTTGAGCATCCCAACCCACTAAACCATCAGCTTCCTTTTTCATGGCAAACTATGCGTCGCCACGGCAACAGCGTGGAGCGAAAACTCACAATATTCATGGCGATTTATCATCAATGTCTTAAGGCTATCCTTACCAAATTTGAGACTCATCAGGTCACCTGGCTAGGAGGAATAAATAAAAGTATAAAATATGACATTTCCTTTAGCCAGTAGGCGGCGCTATGAGTTATTGAAATATTTTCAATTGAAGTATGTTTAGGCTTGAAGTAGCATCATGCATAAGAAGTTTTGTGCGAATTGGATAATGTACCTTGGAGTTATAACAACTTCTTTTTCATAAACAATGAGGCAAAATGGCCGCCACGTCAAGGTTCTTTGATGAAAACTCTCGATTTTGATAACTTTTAATCACAAAGGTCTTAAGAGCACCCTGACCAAAGTAGAAGTTGATAGCTTAAAATCTCTAGGAGGAGTTTGTTAAAGTGCGAAGGCTGAAATCTGCAAAAAGTGACAAAAAGCACAACTTCGAGGGTTTACTGTAGCGCCCCCTAGTTGTTGAATGCAAAATAAATATCAGGGTATGGTAGAGGATGCAATGTGCACATATACTGAAAATCTGGTAATTTTAGGATAAACAGTTGAGAAGTTGTATGTATTGATATTAAGCCACGCCCCTAAGAAGTTTATTGGTACATATCTTGTAAACGAAAAGAGATATCAAAAAGCTTTTGATAACTTTTGATGATGTAGATCCAGTAATGATCCACAGCAAATTTGGTAGTAATGGGACTAAGCATGTAGGAGGAGTTCGCAGAAATGTGTTTTACACTAAATTCAATATGGCGGAAAATCTAAGTAGGCGGAGCTTAGGGGTCTGATTGGCTTTTTTGTAGCTCTAGCTCAACTGGACGTGTGTCAAATTTCAAGTCAATCGGACATACTGGCCGAGGGGCGTCGCCGGTCCGACTTGTAGGGGCCGCTAGAGAGCCATTTCTTAACACAGAAAGATGCATTCTTTTTCAGATGGCTATATTCACCAGGCCTGACAAGTCCCCAAAATTTGGTGAGTTTTCATGCATGGCAAGTCCTCCAACCATGCGTATGTTTACCCAAACGGGTACAATATCAATAGGGCCTTCGCGGCCCGACGTTGTCGGTAGCTCGGGCCCTAATAACGCTGAAGCATGTATGCAGCACACTTAAAGCACTCTGGGAGTTTATTATGCCTTCTGATCCGGCCTTATGTTCGCTTTTCTTGTTTTTTAATCGTGCAAATATAGCGTTACGTCACAATGTAGTCGTATAGATGGCTGCAGGCAGAGTGTGCTGAAGCTGAGCCACAGAGGAGTGCTTAACTTCACCAGCTGGCCACCCTGTCGTCCTCCCTCCCTCTATCTCCTAAACGGAACATGCTGCACACAGTTGGTACACTCACATATTTGTATAGAGCATCTGACCTCACTTTGGCAACAAGTGACTTTTAGCGGGCAAGTCTTTTGTGTGTGTGTGTGTGTGTGTGTGTGTGTGTGTGTGTGTGTGTGTGTGTGCGGGCGGGCGGGCGAGCGTGCGTGCGACATCAACGGAATGAACCAGTTTTTAGAAGTTTGGATTTCATTGAGTTGCCAGAATGTTGAGATCTAATGAAAAGTCTCATCTCAATAAGTGTTGTCAAGGTGTTTGCTAAAAGAAACAGACCGCGGAAATGTATGTTAATCAACCATTTAAGATTTCCCTCTAGATTTATGACCTAACCTTTCTCTCTGACTGTGACTGCTCTTAATTGCGGTAATAATCACTCACTCGCTGGCTCAAGGACAAAGTCGTCCTTTTTGTCTTGTTAAAAAATATCTGGCAAGCTTTTCCGCTATTCTGGCTTTGAGGTTGTACAACACGTGGCAACCTAGAGGCCTTCTCCAGCGTACGCTGGATGTAGAGGCATCGGTCCATTTGCATCTTCATCGAGCGTCTGCGTTACAGGGATAGACGGCGTCTGAAGGAGGACACAGTGGCGTGTATTCCAGCTGAGCTGATTATTGCAGCAGTTAATTGCGAGGCCGGCCGGACACGACAGGTTGCCGTGCGCGGGTGGTGGTATCCATGGCATCTGTACAACATTCGGAAGGAAACTTCAGAGAGAACTGTGACTGCTGCCAACCGCATGCCAGTTATCAATGTCATAACAATGTCGTAACAAAAGAGTTCTTCCCCAGCTGTTCTTGCATTGTTCCATATCTTTATCAAGGTGACAGGAATGTAGTACTCCACACATCTTGCAAGAGATTTCAGAATCCTCCTCGTTCTTGGTCACTGAAATGTACCATTATGTAATACTAGTGTTCTCATTTTTAGTTGGAATATCGGCCTGTTTTCATTTCCAGACAGCAAATCCCGACCCCTTTTTTTTAACCCCCTCGGGCGTCTGATACCGACCCACAACGTGCCCCTTTAACATCCGGGCTTTCAAGTAACTACAATGTAAACCCATCCGCGTCATAGATGACGCTCTGGGAGTGTAATGTCCTAGTATTAAGACCAAAAAAGCCCGCACACGGAGATAGAGTGGTTAAACAAATACAGGACCTTTATCCAGGAGACGGTGTTCCTGTCCGAGTTACCTTAGTGATGTTTTTGTCGGTTTTCTATACTTATGATACATTGTTTACGTTTTACTTAGTTTTCCTACTTATTTAAAGCCCAACCAAGATGTATTTCCTAAACCTAAAGTGGTTTTATTGCCTGAACCTCAATTCACTAGTTATTTTAAGCCCAACCGTGATGTTTTTTTTTCAAAAGATGGTTTATCTTGCTGCTGCTCAGGGCAGACGTCCCTCCATTACAAATCTCCCTGTAGAGTCAAAGCGCCGAAGACTCTGTCAAGACTTTATCATCACATATCATCTGTTAATAATAAACAATTATCTTTGTTGCCAAACCCAAGTTTGTAATTTGATGTCCTAAACCTAACCTTTTGCCTATACTTAACTAAGGGGGTTTTGTTGCCTAAACCTAAGTTCAATAATTAAATTAACCTCTTTAACCCCAGCCCTATTTTTAGGCCTCTGCTCGAAAATTGCATACCCATACTAAAAAGAGTATTTCCCTAACTACAAGGTCTATTTGAACAATTTTGATATTATAATAAAGGTAACACTTGTGAGATTTGTTCAGATGTGTAAATATCAGTGTATATGTTACTGGTTAAGAGTAAATGAAGATGGCACACAGCTCAAATTGAAAAGTTTCAGGTTCACCTGAAACAAAAAGCACTGAAAGCATGATTATGTCTTTTGAATGATGCAGCTGAAAGTTTAAACCTCTCCCAAATCATAGCACAATATGTGAACAGTCTCTCTGCAAATCTTGACTTTGATAAAGTGAAGCAGAACAAAATTAGAGAGGTTTTAGTACAGAGAGGTCAGGCAAGGTCATCAAAATGGTCATTTTGGAACCAGCTGTTCCATTGTAATTTTCTATATAACTATATATTTCACTTGTTTTATCACTATTAGTGTTCAATCTATCCAAATACAGCAGTTTGGCTTCATTTTGAGAGCCAGAATCCTCTCTGAGCCCTGTTTGTGTCTGTGATCCATGGGGTTTTCCTGTCTGAATTCCAGTTTCTCTGTGTCTATGGAGACCTAAGTCAGCAGCCCATTGGTCGATTTCAGTGAATGGACCCTCCTTCGACGCGTCAGAGCCTATAGAATTGAGCTGGGATAACGTGGGAAAGATTGACAAAATTGTTAGCCAGTCAGAATCAAAACCGTGCCGTCCTTCGCGAAGCATCCTTTCCAGAACCGGGAAATTATGCCTTTGTCTACAGGAAAACAGTGTAAAGGTGAGCTGCGTTCTGGTGCTTGTTGGCTGAT